TATCAATAATCATTATGCATAAAATTGACATTTACAAGTAATAATAAATTGATTATTTAATACGTTTTTACTATAATAGTTATCTATGATTTCACTGAAGACTCCTTGATAATTTGCAGAGACGCATCATTTTCTCTTTACACCATATAACACAAAATCTAGATCTGAAAAGAGCAGGAATTCTGTACTTACCTTTCATTTTAGTACAGCAGTGTGCATAATTAATTAATTAACAATAGTGTTTTTCTTGTCAAGTAATTGTTAATGTATGAAAAATGTACACTTTTTGAATATTCCACTTTAGAGTATTACTGCTGCCATCATCTGTATTAAAGGGAAAAAACGGTAGGGGTGGCCACAGGGGGGCCAATGATTGGCTAAGGGGGGGCATGGCCCCCCCTGGCCCCCCATCTAGCTCTGCCACTGCTATATCCATCCATCTCTATTTTCAGATTGTGTTTTTACAATCTTTTCTTTTTCTTGTCATTATGCCCAAAAACATCCCTTTAAGTTGCACAAGATCACAACTTTAGATGGCAGGAAATGTCCCAAGAAAATGAGATCCTGGTTCCATAAAACATCGGTTTGCAAAGGGATAATTCTGTCAATTGATTCTTCCGAGCTTTGTGGCCTTAAAGCCCATGTCAGTGCAGGTGAATATCACACTTTAATAAAACTATCAATTTTAGCATAGAAGACATTAAAATTATTTTGGAAATTTTTATTAAAAGAGGAAAGGTTTAGTTGGACTGAATGCTCAGGCAGTGAGTAAAAAAAAAAAAAAGGAAAATATATGTGATGCCTCATCAATGATATCCTTCATCGTTTTGTTGTTCTTTTTTTGTTCATTGTGCCTATTAGGCATGAGGAAATGCCTTAAGCAGCTCTCTACTAGACACCATGAGTTAAATATGCCTGGTCATGGCTTGGTGTGTCATGCACATGAAACACCTCACTCATGTGGTGCCACAGGGTACTGCAGTAATCGCTCCTTTCACTCCTTTATTTTTCCTCTTATATTCAGTAGATTACTTGGAAAAGACAAAGGTTAGATTTTGCAAAGTTAAATTTAACTCTAAAGTGAACCTTTGGAAGAGCTGATGCATTAAGCTTCCTTACCTACATGGAAGTTATTGTGATGCAATCCCATGTTGGAATGCTTCATAGCACTAAAGGAGCCCTGTTACACCGATTGTGTTTGTCTTCAGGCTCTGTTGCGCTCCATGTATCTGTACAAAAATGGAGAACAGAAATCTGCATTTGATGACAGAGAAATAAAAGCCTGTCTGCTCAGGCAAGAAGTCGATTTGGGAAGCTTTTAATTAATTTAAATAGAACTCCAGTCTTAGTTTATTCAAAATGAAGCTGTTAAATAGGTGAAAAAACATGAAAATAAAACTAAAATCTGTAATCGCATTCAAAACACCACAGAGACTTTCTTACTATTAAATGTTAAAGAATTACAAACCCTTTTTTTTTAATATTCAAAAACTTTTTATATACTTTCCCTTTAAATTTACATGTTCTGCTTTTCAAAAAAGGTTCGTTTTGTATTACATTTTTATCATAGCTACAATTTTCCATTTCTTAAAAAAAGAAAGTGAAAAAAAGCTTTGAGCTGTATTTGCAATTTTTTTCAATTACATAGAAATATACTATATTAATCAAAACATTCGAATTTAAAAAAATCCAGACTTGTTCTATAGACTAGATCAAATTCAGACTGTTCCCTTTAAACCATTTTATAATTTAATGCTTTCAAACACAGCTAATAAAATGAAGCTAATTGTTTAAAAAGGTCATCTAATATAAAATTGCTTTACAACCAATTATTTTAGAGTAATCTCTATACCCGAGAGAGTATGTGGGTTTATGCCTGTGGTCTAAGGATACCCACAAAAGAAAAAATAATAATTTATGCATTTTTACATAAACAAAATCTGATATTTATGATTGTAGATTCCTTCTAATCATAGATAATTCATTATAAGTTAGGACAAGACTGCTACTAGATTTCATAAATTAAAAACCCTTGAATTGAACCTACTGGCTACAAGAAAAGTAAAAATAAAACTGTGAATGCAATCTAAAAAAAAAAATGAAGCAAACAAACAGGCTCCAGACAGAAAATAATCCGTGCCTTTTTTTTCAGACTTTTTTTCTGTCAAATCAGAATCACAATCCTAGAACTATTCAAACCCCATGCACATCTAAAAATTATGAAAATTATGTCTTAATTTGTTTCTTCTGGCTAATGTAATGTTAACCTCAGTCAGAGCACTGGTTTGAATTTAATAGAGAATCTGTTAGCAAAGATAAAGATTAGGGCTGTGGCAAGAGGCCCGCTAAACTCTTAGACTTGGAGGTCTTTACAAAAAATAAAATGTCTAAAAAAAAAAAAAAGCAGAAGAAACTAACCTAGACTTAACTGTGCTTCTTTTTAACCATTTTCCATCAGATCATGGGTCAAACTCCTGTCTTCAAGGCTCAGTGTTATACAACTTATTTTGCCTCGATCAATCTAACACACCTGAATCCAATGACTGAACTACAAGCTCTCCAGAGTCCTGCTAATGAAGTTATGTGATTCAGGTGTGTTAAAGCAGAGACACCAGCAGAACACTGACCCTTAACGACTCACCTGTGAACAGCAGCAGTTTTACATCAGTCCCCTGATAATGATGCGTACAATCCTCAATAAAGCCATGCTTCTCTGCAGTACTTTATCTAATCGGAGCCGCAGAGTTAAAAAAAAAAATCCTAAATTCAAGTACATTTAATCAATGTTTTAAAAGTCTGTTTTCAAGTCTAGTTTCCAAATCATAATCAATTATTTTCTGTTTCCCTGGAACATAAATAGGTCACACAAAGATGTTTAAAGATGGAAAGACATGAATAAATAGCATTTTGTGAAAGTAGATGATCTGAAACTAAATATGACAATTATTTTATTTTTTTAAAAGCTTGATAAGTGGTTATCTCAAGATTTTATTCCCCTGCAATAAAATGATTGAGTTTTTTGTAAAATATCTTTATTCATCTTTAAAATTTTGTTAGTTGAATAGCGTAGTCAAGACATGCATGGTTATGTTTAGATTAATATATGAGATTGTTTTTTAACCCTGTAGTTGTTTTTAGTCATTTAAATGTAAAACAGTTTATTATTCTTTATACTTTTCTCTGTTTCAGATTCAAATCAGCAAAGGAAATGTCACAGAAATTATACTTAATAAAATAAGTTTTTTTTTTGTTCTGGTCCTTTAGATAAATACAGCTTACAATCTAAGACCTGACCCCCTCCTCCTCCTCCTCAGTCACCCCATAAGTACCATCAGAGGCCATCTGTTCCCCACACCAGTGTTGGTGGTATATTGGGTGGTGCTAATGATGACTCACATTTGGTTAAAGAGAGCAAACAGGTACAACAAGTGCAGAAATCAACACCAGTACCTTAAAAGTAAGGTGACATTTCCATTTGTCTCCTTTATTTTACTGGTATTAGGTTCATTTTCTCATTTTTAGAGAATTTAAACATTTGTTTGATGATAATCAACAAAAACAAAAGCCGACATGAGGGATTACAGCAGCGCAGAATGACAAATGGTATCAGCTGACCTCTTCTCACACCCTTGTTAGCTAGAGACAGCCGAGACTATCTGGGACCAGGTCTGTTTAGTTCATAATAAATAGGATAGGCCAAAATTCACTAAAAATAAAAGGAATCTGTTATTTGTGATGAACATTCTTGGTTTTCTTTAATGAGAAGTGGAAAATAGTTAATCTTTTACAAAACAAAATGCAGACAAACCAAATCAGGAATGATAATCACACAAAATTAAAGACAATAATTGTGTTCCTGCCTTTCTGAAAATATTATTGAATGTGAATACATAATTCTTGGAAAACTTAAAACCTTCAAACATTTGAGCAAAACAATAAACACAACATAGAGTGAAAAAAACAAACATTATGGCACAGTTTAAATATATTTCAAAATTGAATAATGCATCATTACATTAAATATATCACATTGGGTATCATAGCACATGTGGAATAAATTGGTGTTATATTACATATTTACAAAATCTCATGTACAGCATGAAAGATATTAGCCACAGATTTCGCTGTCCTCATCTACTTTGCACAAAAAAACTTCTTACTATCAGTTTTGTTGCAAAAGCAGCTGGTGTCTGAGGAAACTGTTGTCCCATCGCCACCCGTGGCAATCTATTCGTATCAAAGCATGGTTTTCCCTTCACAGGACATGGTAGACAGGTCTGGAACCCGGGCTCTCTGGCGTGCACGGCTGAGACTCGGAGCTGCCAGGAGAGAAGGTGGTCAGGTCCCTCAGGCCGGCTGGTCCACAGCTGGACTCTGCCGAGGACAGGCGGTCCACGATGCTGGACAGGCATTCCAAACTGGAGGCGCCAAGAGCTTTGTCATCCAAACTCTCTGGAAAAATTAAAAAAGATTCAAACATTACTCACTTTTAAATTCAAAATGCATTTCAGGTGATGTTATTTTAAGAGGTTGCAGGAGAAACATCTAACCTATTCTACAATGTAACATAGTAAAAATGCTGTTTTTATTTCCTCTTTTTTGCACATCAAAAAATTATTCTTGCTATTTCTCTCTATTCTAATCAGTCAAGCATTAAATAGTCTTCTAAATAAATAATTCTTACCGTTCTTTGCATATGAAAAGCCGTTGCTGTAGTTTGCATTCAGGTGTTGCCACACTGGGCTGTTGCTTCCAGCCTGCAAGAACACAAGAAATCAAATTTACCCTTGAACTCCTACAAAGAACTCAAAAACACACACTAGTATAGGGTTTTATGGTTGCATACAAAAATACTGAGTAGGATAAGGCGAGAAAAGTAGAAAAACAGCTAGTGCCCTTTGTCGTTTCTGGAAGGGCCAATAAATCCTAAATTCCAGCATTATTGGGGCTTCTTTATTTCACGTCCACCTTGAAGTCAAAGTGGCCCGGGCGCCCTCCCCCTCCCCTGCCTGGCTCCAAGTGTGGCGAATCAATTGTATCAGTGGAAGCAACACCAGTTTGTGCAAGATGACACTTTCTCTGAGTAAATCTGCAGAAAATCCTGGCAGTGGTGGAGATACATGCAGTCAGGATGGAATGCAGCGGAAAGCTCCTGCGTTTTCCTGCCAGACTTCAGTGAGGTGGATTTAGTTTGGTTTACTGGGACCATAAAGTGTTCAGTGGTGGGAAAGCCATTAGTGCAATATGTTGTTTTTCATAATCTGAAACATGGCCAGATTCAGTGTACAAATAACAGAACAAAATTGGTAATTCACTTCATTTTGAGGGTCTTTAGGAAGAACAACCTGTACAGAAGATCCGAAAAGGATCTTCTGTACAGAAGCCGATATTATGTTTTTAAATGATAACATTTTAGCCACTTTCCAGATTACAACTCTCCGAGTATTAGATCAGCTGCAACATCATCATTTTCAAGTTGCACTAGCCCAAATGACCATAAAGGTGAGAGTTCTTACCATACTGTCAGAACAGCTGGACAGTGGGCTGCCTGGCTCGGAGCTACTCTCTCCAGGTAGACTGTAAAAGCTCTCCACCTGTTCTCGCAGCAGGTCCTGCAGACTCTCAATGTACTGGATGGCGTTGCGCAGGATCTCCACCTTGGGCAAACGCTGGCTGGGGTTGGCCGACGTGCAGCGCCTTAAAGCTTCGAAAGCATGGTTGACTTTTTTCAGCCGCCGGCGCTCCCGCATGGTGGCAGCCCGCCTGCGGTCTACAAAGCTGGACTTGCGTTTGCAGGCCTTGCAGGCCCACTGGAGACAATGTCCAGGCTGGTGGGGGGCTCCAGGTACTCTGATGTGCTCATCCTCCTCGGAGCCAGTGAGCTCCATGCTAGTGCCAAACTCCTGGCTATCTGGAGAGGAGGCACAAGCTCTGTCGTAGTAGAGCTGGGATGGAGAGAAGACATCCATGGCTTGGGAAAGAAAAGGCGTCAGGAGGTTAAGGTTGCTGGGTGAAACAGAGGAGACCTCTGAGTGATATGAGGGGTCTGTTGCCACACACCCCCCTTATATGCCCCCAGGCTAAAGCCCAGGGCCTACATTGGTCAGATCTAATTACCATGGCCCATTGGCCCAGCCAGAAGGCAGGCTGGAGTTAGTTCAGCTCCCTCCCTGCCTCATCCCTACCACCACCTCAACCCCCCAGTGCCCTGCAGAGTTTCCCACATCTGCACCTACTGGTGTTTTCCCACTCATCCCCATTTTCTCCAGCGTTACTTTTGTGAGGGCAAGACGAGTGCCGAACATGCCGCTTTCAAAGGTGTGGATGAACAGTTGCAGCTTGGCCAGTTTCAAAATGTTTTGCTGGGATTTATTTAGCCTAGCAAATCTGTAAATTGACTTATATGTTTTTGTAGCTTGCATGCAATTTGCTATGAAGACATAGCTCAATCTGTTTAGTGGAACTCTAAAGAAAACCAGGGTGACCACTTGCAGCAGTGTACTGGCCAGTTGTTACCTCTGAGACAACAGCGTTGCAGATGCAGCCCAGCTGCAAATGAAGGTGTAACATTTCAAGCCATTGCAAATTCTCAAAGCAGTGGCAAACATTGTCTAAATGCCCAATCTCATCATTTAAGGTGCTGCTAGAGAGAGCTGACCTCTGTTTGTCAAAGCTCATTAAAACTAATGACACCACTGTGCATCGCAGCTCTGTGGACCAAATTTTAACCATTAAAAGGTAATGACGTAAGTTAAAGCCAACAGATGGCCACAATGGTGCAATCGTTTTTATTTAACTGAACGACAAACAGGCTTTAAATGAAAAGCTGCTCAGAAATTTAAGCATCTTAGTTCCCTGTTTGTGTTTATATTGACGGAAACATTTCCCTTTGTTTTTATTCTAACATTTTTATTATTTTTACTGACTTTTCGAATAAATTACTTGAACATATTAAAATGTCTGTCCTCATCTCTCCTCCTTTTTAAGTTAAATTAATATAATATGCCTAATTTATTATAGTACCTCCCAAAAACATAATTCCAGGTGAATAATCTTTTGTAATAATTTATTGTCCCCAATGTAGAGAAACTAAAAATTTAAAATCAATTTACTAATTGTTTGATGCCTATCTCGTCTTTGGGGGTGAAAATATATTGTGAAGCTCTTTTATATTACTTTAACATTGATCTTCTAATCAGAAATAATGAAAATTGTTTCTTCTTCGGAATAAAACGAATATTAAGCTTGCATAAAAAGTATAGACTAAAAATAGATTTCTATTTAATTGTAATAAAATCAGTTGTCCCTACAGAGAAAGTCTTTGCATCTCAAAGCTTTAACACCCAACACTGGAAAAAAAACATGTTCCTGTTTATTTTGAATAACATTCTGCTTCTGCTTGTGTTTCAGTATCCTTATATTCCTTTATGTGGAAAAAAGGCTAAAAACAACCTTGACAAATATTTCTGAAAATTAATTTAAATCTATTTCAAATAGCGGTAAATCAAATGCAATGTTGCCCATCTGGTATGTAAATAAACACTGTATCATTACAAAGAACATAGAATAATAAATATTAACTTTTTCCATTAAAATAGCTTACCTTTATTGTAAATATAAATTGTGAAAACAGATTTTTTTTTTTTGGATTAACTATAACATTTTCTTATGCTGTCTAGAAAATGCAAACAGCCCTTACAAAATAGCAGATTTTCGTGATGCAAAATCACACCTTTTTATTAGTTATCGGCCCAAATAACCTCGGATACATCTCGGAAATCTTTTCGGATGTGAGGACATTTCTTCTTAAAGAAACTGCACACTTAGAGAGATCCGGCTGAAATCTGTCAGATTTAGTTATGAGCCTAGTCAGGCTGTACCCAAGACTTTAACTAATCTTCTCCTGAAGATGTTCTATCAGTGATTTGAAGTCTTATACTCAGAGTGACAGTGAGAAGAGAACGTCTTCACACTGCAAAAAAACTGAAATCAAAATAAGTCACTTTTTTCTTCAAATAATTGCATTTTCTCTTGAATTTAGGAGGTGAGACACTTTGTCAATGGAAGAAGACGATTTACATTTCAAATAATAACAAAAAATTGCATGGTCTTATTTCAAGTGCATATTATCTAATTATCTTATTTTAAGAGCAAAAATACTAATTCCATCGGCAAATCATCTTATTCATCTACTCAATTTAAGAGTAAATATACTTATTTTAAGAAATTTTTACTTATTTCTATATTGTTTTTGTGGTGCACCTGGAGCATTCCGGCGTAACCCAGATATTTTTTTATTATTTAATTTATTCACAAAAAGCAACACCCTATTATGATACTGTCCCCATCATGTTTTATTGTGGGTTGAGGTTTTTTATTTTTTATTTTTTTTGGCAAAATATGCCTTTTGAAACTGTGGTCTTAAAATGTAATTTTGGATTATCTAATGATGAACCCCCTATATTTCACCCCCAGGCAGATGTGTTTTGTTTGTTTGTTTTTCTGGTTACCCCATGCAAAAAAATCTATTTATATTAAAATGAATTAGGACTGTCTTATTTTATTTATCACATTTTGTGATCTGTTGTACTGATTTTTTTTGTCAAACAAAAACTAGATTAGATGATTGTCATTAACATTATAATATATTGCAGGTGCATGAAAAAAAAAACCCTTCAAATAAAATAACAGTGTGGTTTCTGAGTGAACAGAAGCTCCTTGACAATCCATTATTTGCAACCAGCAGGTTTCTAGGTGTGTTTTGAAGAAAGTGAATGCTGCACATGTTCTCAACAGTGGAAAAAAAGTGTTGTTTTTTTTTATTTCTAAAGTCCAGCTTCCTCATGTTATCCTTGATCTATAGTGTACCTCTACTTTTTTTCTTAAATATATATACTGCCACTTGTATGATGTAAAGGAAAGTATGATCAGATTTTCTCCTGCCTAACCTCGCTGGGATTTGTGTCTTGCCGATGACACCATATAATTGTCATTAGTCTGTGAAGGCAGTGTTTTAAAAGTCCGAGTCGATGAAAGGCGGAATGCTGGAACAGGGGGATCAAACCTGGAAGCTGAGTGCTCTGAGTTGCTCGAACTTTCCTTCAACATCCTGCCATGAGAAGCATTCAGATTTGGAGGATTTGGCAGCACACTTCTTTCTGCTCACTGCCAAACAAATGGTGTTGCCACTCAAAATTGTGTTTTTCTTTTTTTTTCTCCATTTCTTTTGTCTCTACTCTGAAAAAAAAATAATGCAACCATTTTTGGCTTTTACATAATCATATTTAATTACTATTGTTTCATGTAAGCAGGGTAGGATTTAAAACAACTGTGTTAAAGTAACTTAATATGATTAAGCAAATGCCAAAAGCAGTTGCATTATTTTTTTCAGTTACAGTATGTGTGACTAAAAAAAGTGGACAATAACTCTGTGCAATATGTTTACTGTACTTATTTTTCATATAGCCTACCTATTTTGTATTATTTATATTAGCTTAATATAATATTACAGACTTTTAAAAAGTCATTTTAATTTATTTAAGCAATTACTCCCATATTTTCAGTGGGATCGAACAGAAGAGGATAAGGGCCACTGAAAAAAAAAGTTAACTGATTTTTAAATGTTATTTCAGTTTAATGTAGGAAAAAAGAAAGAATTCTGACTTTAATCTCAGAATTCTGACTTTAGTCACAGAATTATGACTTTCCCCCCCATATTAAACTGAAATAAAATGTAAAAATCAGTAATTTTTTTTATTATTATTTGTCAGTGGCCCTAATCCTCTTCCGTAGGATAGTGGGGTCGTTTCAAGGAAATAAGGTTTTCAGACGTGAGGGAGGTGGGACATAAAAGATCACCTCTTGCCCCTCACTTAACTCTGCCTTTGACCCTTGAGAACAACAGAAAAGCAACTGCAGAGAGTTCCCAAGAGACCAGTCTGGGACAGAGATCACAACACTAAGTTTGCGCGCCGCTATTTTCATCCAAAACTGCGCCATGTGCTGCGCCAATTAAGCCCCGCAGCTCAATTAGGCAGGTTTTCTCATTGACGACGTCGTTCTCAGCCTCTAAAGCTGCCTTTGATCCTCTAAACAAGTTGCAGAAGAGTCGATGTCTTCTTCAGCTGTGGACAAACTCCGACTGCAGTTCATCCTGCATGTTTTCTTAGGTGTGAGCGGTTCCCAGAGAAAGGCTTTCGCCAAACGTTTTGGCACATTGTGAGAAATATCCGGATTGTATCCTTACGAGCTGTCAGCGGTACAATTACCTTTCAACAAAATAAAAATAAATAAATAAAATGATTCACACTTCTGGCAGATTGAAATAAAAATTATAAATATATAAATAAAATTTATTATTTCAGATTATGTTCCCTATTAAACCAAAAATAAATGGTAATAAAAAAATAAATTCAGGCCTACATAAAAATAAAATCTAAATTTTGATTAAAATTTATATGATATTCCAAAGTGTTTTTATTAAAATAATAGAAGCATCCCAGAAAATACTTGCACTCATATTCTGAAACACTTTTAGGTTGGAAGGTGTCCTTACCATCACCCTAATTTGTAGCTTTTTTTTTTTTACTCATTTGTAACCAGATTTAACTGGGTGCTACAGCTGGGCCGCCTCAGCATGTCAACATGTTAGCAGAATATTAGGACTGAGTAAAACATAACCATAACAGAGGTAGGAATAGTTTATTTAAAACTTTTAAAAGACGCAAAATTGATAATCAGAACTTTTGAAAATTTCTTATCATTTGCAAAAGTGTTGGTGAATGTCTGTAACATCCTTGATCAGTTAGTTAGCACACGGAGCTCTGTAAAGAGGAAATGACCTTCAAATGTAAGCATAGTTTGAATGAACTTCCTGTAAACTGAAACCTGGGGTTACATCTCGTCATTTCTTGCTTTCGGTTTTTTCTTTACCTATGTTATTGTTCTGTCTTTGAGCCTGATGAGCAGCTGTGACATTTTGCATGAGGCTTTATCTGTCTGAGTCCCAAAGGTCAACAAGCGTTTTGAGTCGTCTGCAGAGATCAGAGCGAACTATTGTGCAACACCACATCAAGCGTTGGATTGAACCAACGCTGCCACCCCCCCTCTGTCACGTCAATACATGACAAACAGGACTGATTGGATTTCCAAGCCACTGGCATTGAGCCACACATTTCATGTAAACGCTTTGTCATATGATGAAGATCCAAGTGATGATGAATTAAGACCTCACTGCTGAAATAACTGTATTAACCCACTGGGGTTTGGACTCGTGCTTTGGATCCTAAGTTTCTGTGTTTCCAACATGTGATAGGGGAGGAGTGTGGAGGCACGCGGTGTTTGGAGGGGACTCAGATTACTGTTGTGGGATCAGGCCTGCTGGTGAACAAAGACGAGGACTCTGGCAGCGAACTGTTCCAGAGCAGTTTCAATAGTTTTTATGGACTTCTAATAAGCATGAACGCCGGTTTAGTACTAGAGCCTTTACTACTACTATCGTTACAGAAAAACATGAGGTAAATATTTGCATGATGCATATTCTAAAAATAGCAAAAATGGTTTTCTTTAAAGGTTGTATGAGAACACCTCCTTATAGCATGCATTTTAATTTTAAGAAAATGTCTAAACACCTTACAACAGAGTAATGGATTTATTTGTTGGTCAACTAAGTGTACAAATTTTCCAAAGAGAATGCAAAGTTTCTTCAACCATCAGTTAGGCTTTGAAAACAAAATAAATACATTTTATTAATCACGTCAATATAAAATATGTACAAATTTCTGCTCTCCTACTACAAGTTAGGAAAAGCCAGAATTATGCATTAGAGCCGGAAAAATCAGAGCATGACGCTGGAAATTTTAAATTATGAAACTATAAAACTCTTTAGACTATTTCAGTTTTCTGAGGGTTCAGCAGAGAAGTTGAGCTTCTCATCATTGGTGATGCTGTCCACGATGGAAGACAGACGCAGCAGGCTGGATGTCGCAGAAGACTCACTGGTCACTGAAAGCAAAGAAAAGTCGGTCACTGGAATGTTTATCTTTTGCAAGAAGCTTTAATCGAAACAGACATAAAAGTTGAAAAATATACGCTTGCAGCGGTTTATTATTGATGGTTAGGATGTTTGCTGAGTGTGTTTCTCAGATATCTTGAGCACAGCAGTAAAAAATTTACAAAAAGCCATCAAATAAGTAAACGTTTTACAGCTGGGAGTTTATCTCATAGAAAAACGTTGCAAGAATTCCAGGTTTAATGTGATTGCATTTATTCAGTGGAGAAAAAAAAGGTCAGATGAGTGTCAATCTAATACTGGCTACAAGAAACACCATTTACTCTAAACCTATCTAATTTCCAAACAGTACAACAATAAAAACACTTTCTTTATCACTATCAATCATAACAACAACGCTAAAGAATTGGAATGGAATAGAAGATTTGCTTTAAGTTTCCACAATATCAACTTATTTAAGGTTGTTTGCAAATATCCTCCTTTAAGTGTAACAATGATGAATGAAAATGTATTAACTTCCTTAAATGTATTCTGTCACCCGAGGCTTGTTTGACAGCAAAGTCAATCAGTTCACCCAAATTCCACTTTAACATGGATCATTAGCTTCTACTTGTTTGCACATTGGTTGAACAATTGATTTATATGTGCTCACTAGGTTTTTCTTTATCACAATTATCAATTGGTGTACGGCACATTGCGGATCTTTCTTTTCATTTATACAAGTTTACTAACACACTCCAGTAGGCACGGCCTTTACTCATTTTAAATGTTCCCTAGGAGCCGCACTTCAAACACCAAACTACTACCGGCATTTTTTTGTGTTTAAAAACAAAGGTTAGTTTTGTCTTTTTTTTTTTTTTTTTTTTACAAACGTATCTCATATACACGGAAAACAAGGCCCTCAATGTATGATATATATTGATTTTTTTGTTTGTTTCAACAGTGATTTCATATAGATTCCTCAGAAAGCATCATTGTATTTTCTAAAGTAATTTAAGGAAATGTACCTTTAGATGAAGGTTTTAGTGGAATGTTAACCAAACCCCCCTTTAATCAAATGTTCATCCCTTTTTTTGTAAACATTCTTACATTGGAGCTTTGTCAAGATGTTACCATGTGATTTTTTTTACCCAAAGAATAAAACTCTGTAATATAAACTAATGATAGTCATAACCATTTGTAACCATTTTTACCAAAATATTCAGCCTCCAAACAGGAGATTTCTACTACAACACCTCCAAAAGTAAGAAAAACAAGTCTGCAAGTTAAGACAACAACATCATCCAGACATCCATAGCCAAGATAGCTGCTGCCTGCATCATCTGTAGTTAGACTTCCTTCCTTTATGATTAATAGCAGTTTTATTTCTCATCTGTGAGTCATTTAGTCTGTCGTATGGAAGCCAAAGTGTTTTAGAGCTGTTTATGTCAGTATTATTCTTTTAAACATATGAATAATAAAAAAAACACTAAAACTTTGCAATTTCTCTTTATATTAAACAAATTGGACTGTTACTTGTTCATTTGTTATCATTCAAACTGTGTCCATCCGATGGTTCTTAGTGTTTAAAAGTAGGCCACACTAAGCTTAAAATGATCCTTTAAAGTCGTAGGGAAGCGGCTGTTCCAGACGTTGCATTTCCGAATTCTCCTGAGCGGTGCCCGACTTTACACGATTGAATGTAGTGAATGTGATTGGTCGAATATCAAGAGGGTGAGATTGTTGCGGCAGAAAGTTCGCAAGCAAGTTTGGTTGTGGCCGGTTTGTCGGTAGCATCTTGCTAACCAGTTAGCAGGGACAAAGATTTTGTGGAAGAGGACGCCAGGGCGGCAGAAGCTTAGTTTGGTGTAGAAGGCTTACAGCCGTACATGTTTGAGCCCTTGCCTCGCAACGCTGCCAGTTCTGTTAGCTCTACACCTGCCGAAGACACAGACGTCCATCCCCGTGAACACTGGGATGGAACTTAATGGGAAAGGAACTAACTAATCTTATCTCTTATTTCAACCGTTCCGTATATTAGCGGCGACATATGAATGAAGATACTATGACCAAAAAAATTAGATTTACAGATGACCGTTGATATATGATTGGCTGAAATTTAGGCGTTCAGGGTGACGTATAACTAACTGGCCTGCATAAGATAACAAAAAAAAACACAGATTTTAAGTTGGGATTTAGAAATTTTCTAATTTTTGGGACAATATCTGACAGATTAAGAGTACATTTAAATACATGTTTAAGCCAGAATGATTTGACATTTAAATATGACTTCCCTACGGCTTTAAAGACAAAAACTGAAGAATTTAGGTGCTGGTGCAGAAACATAATCTATATCAAAAATGACTGTAAAAAAGTAATAATGTCTGTAGAATGGCTCTTGCAAATCCTAGAGAGTAAAACATAGAAAACTTTGACACTATTGATTACTGGGTTTCCATAACCCTAAACAGCCTTACAACCTCTTTTTACTATCTCTTCTGGCCTCCAAATTTGCACCAATATCAGTAAGACAGAAAAGTTATTTTTATTCTTTTTAAATGGCACATTACCAGTTAAGGTTATGCTTTGTTCATTAACAGCTAACTGCCGGACTGACCGTCAGTTGTACCTTGTCTCTGGTTCATTGCTGCACTGGAATGATCAGCAGAGCTCCGCCAGGCCTCGGAGGACTTCTTCCATTGATACTCATCACTGGCAAGCTGAAAAACGGGGAAAAAAATCTTTCTTTATTAATGCAACTCATGCAGAAATGTGATTCCTAATGGTTGATGCCTAGCATAAATATATACCTAGAAATTATACAGTAATAGTCAGAAAAGAAACATATCCAAAGCCCAAGCAAGGACTTTGATGTCATTTGAAAGTCATTTGAGCCCCCAGGCACACTCCTGGACAGATTTAGATTTTCAAGAGGACACTAGAAGGAGTTTCCTCTAAGGAGTGTGAATCAGTGAAAGCTTACATTAAGCTCTTTGGTGTTTAAGGCAGTTCCATTTTGAATTTTCTCTTGTTCATCCAGGGTCTGCAACAGGTCCTGTAGCCTTTCGATGTAGCTTATGGCACTGCGTAAAATCTCCACCTTGGGTAGTCGCTGGTTAGGATTGGCCACAGTCTTCTTCTTTAGTGCATCAAAAGCTTCGTTGATCTTTTTCAGCCGTCTCCTCTCTCGGAGCGTGGCGGCCTTGCGTCTGTCTGTTGGCGCTGACTTTCTCTTGCAGATCTTACAGGCCCACATGAGGCACTGGCCCTCGCAGTGTGACTGGAGACCCGGCGGGGCAAGCACATGTTCCTCTCCGCTACTTTCCCCCCCTGTCTCAGACGGGACATTATCCTGTCCTGGGGACAACGGGCTGTCGTTGCTGTTAGAGTAGAGAGGAGATACACCTGTGATGTCCATATGTTGTAACGATCCATGATCCCCTTCCTCCAAATAACGCAAGTCACTGAAAAGATAAGTGCTGGTCTCAAAAAGGTCCATCATATTGTTGCGTCCTTCTCTCTGTTTTGACAGTGGAACTCTGGCATTTAAATAGAGCAGTGGGGACACAGTCAACAGGCTTATATATAGAATGTGAAACTCTATCCAACACTGGCTGCCACACTGCTACAAGCATATTACTTTTGAATGGGTCTTTGCTGCACACAGACTTCGTGTTGGGAATAAATACACATTGAGGCATTCAGAAGCTATTAAAGAGTCACCTCAAATTTCATGACAGGTGTTATAACTAAATGCATCTTGACCAAACAACTGCATTGTTGTATTATTTGATCTCCAAAAGGACACACAAAGTCTGTCCTACTTTTCATTGTTTCATAGGAGCAGCTTAGTGGTTTTAGGGTTAGAACCTTTTTTTGTCCTAAATCACAACTTTCTTTGTTTGAATTAGCAAAAACGGGGGGCGGGGGCAGGCTCCTGATAGTCATTTAAAGGGGGTGGGACAATAAGGGAGTTATAAACAAGAAAATATAATTTCCAGTTAACTTAAGTGAGACAGTTTCAAAGTGTGTATTTCTTGCCCTACCTTATATTAGCAGAATAATTTCATTTTCCTGAACAATATTTTCCCTGGGAGTACCTCAAGGTTTGATCGTTATTTTGTTCCAGGGTTTATACAGGAATGAGTAACTCTAATTCAATGCTTTTTAATGCCCTTAGAAATTATTAATGCCATCAACATTTACCCATATATATATATATATATATATATATATATATATATATATATAAAACTCCCTCACCCATTTCTGGCAGACTTCCCCCCTTTTTTCCTCCAAGCTGGGGTATATATATATATATATCCTTCGTTATCTTTACCAGTTCTGCGCAAACATGCCGAACCAGTTATATCTGCTATAATCTATCTGACAAAATAGTTTTATAAAGGTTTTTTTTCTTGTTAAACAAAGCATTTTAAATGCCATGATAACCAAATTTAAAGAACTTTAATGCCAATTAAGGCCTTAATTTAAAAAAACAATAATTTTATTACTTTTAATGATTTCCAATGACCCATGGAAACCCTATTACTTTTATTTCATATACTTTCCCTAGCATGTATTTTTTTATTCAAAATGCAACGATTAGTATAATTTTTACCAAGGCCTGACTACTATTTATTCAAGCATTCAACTTGATCTACTTCCTCCCTATGAGACTCTCTGACTGACTCTAAAAAAAAAACATCTAACTTCAATCTAAAAAAGAAATCTATCTTGGTTGACCTAAAATACACTCACCTATTAACATAGCAATAGGTTCCTGTGAATTCATTAAATCGTACTTTTAATTTCGCCGTAAATCTTAACTCACAGATGAAGTATGTTGTGCCAACCCTTAACCAGGCAAAGAAGTGTTTCTCTAAAGTTAATTTTAGAAAACACCTTTTTTACTAATTAGACCAAAGAACTCACTTAAACATTTAGAATTTATACAGAAGGTTGTCTTAACAAGCAATTTTGAATAAGTTGTGTACTACTTTGCTCTGTGCAAACACTACTTTACACTTCATGTAAAAGTATAATTGTGTACACACAATGTAGCTGAAAGCTTAGCTGAATCATATGAATCCTTCATCAAAACACTTTTGTTTCTGTTCTGTTTTATTAAAATGCAACTATTTAGTCATTCCCTACACAAAACACAGAGTATAAAGAAGCTCAAGCCTTGGGGTTTTGGCCCCACAACTAGAACAGTCTGTCTACAAAGTTAAAACACTGAATAAGAAAACAGAAAAAGGAAAAATGTGAAGTTGGATCCGTAGGTTAGAGTCACACAGCCGTTATTTATCTTCCTTATGCTTAGTGTTTATTCTCGCTTTCAAGTTTATTTTACTATTCTAAAGCGTAAAGACTATGTCTTTGAAAAGTGGTGAAATGGCTAAATAATTTAAAGGAAACTGCCTACCTATCCGTGACTTTCAACATCTTTGTTAAGGTTATATTTGGATATCAAAGGTCTGTCAGACACAGGGAGAAGTTTAAAGGATGACCTCTGATGTCAAAGACTTTAAGATATAAATGGATCCAGCCCACATGGATTGGATGAGATCTGTTGTCTGTTTAGGATTGCTGGCTTTCTCTGACTTGTTGCTCTGGTAAAACACCTGGTATTTTTCTAGGGTTGCACAGCTTTCAGTAAAAGGTGCATTTCGATGCAGCGAACATACATTTATTTACCTTTTGTATAAATATTTCAAAGAAATGACACCAGTTAATATAATTCCTAAAAAGGTCTCATTTTACTTCAATAAAACAAAATTTAACTGCTTATTATTGACAGTCATTATTCTTACTACTTTGCACATCTTTGTAAAGTTTGAAACCCGAAATATTTAAGAACAACATTAGAATCACTTAAATACTGACAAAAATGTTGATATTATATATTTTCAGCTTTTTTTTCTTTTTTTTTTTGACTTTCTTAACCAATCAGAATTGTACTTCCAACCAATATAACCTTGTAAAAATAGATTAGAATCTGCAGCGTCAAAACAGCTTTGAGAAATGTGTGCATAGAACATTATAAATAGAATCTTGCCTCATTCATTTTAGATCACAGAAAAACATAAAAGCCTCTGAGAAGGTGATATATTGCCTGTGGCATATTTGTTGCAACCTTAAAGGGCTACAATTGGAAACTTCACAGGCAGGAATGTGAGGGATCTCTCTTTCTGTACAGCTGCATGACCTTGTGTATTGAAATAAAACAAGATCGGAAAGCAGCTTTAGTAAAGAAGAGGCTGTTAATGTGAGGTCAGAGCCTCGATCGCCAGCTGGTTTTCGCCATTAATTAGGGAGTTTTTGAAGGAATCCAACAAAAATGAAGACACTGAATAATTAAAATCACATTAAAATTTTGTTTTATATATATATATATATATATATATATATATATATATATATATATATATATATATATATATATATATATGTATATAAAACCTATATATATAACTTATCTTATTGGTTTGTCTGCAAGAGCTGACAAATTACCAATAAAAAAAACATTTCCATTTTATCAGTGTTGTATTTAAACAGCATAAAGCAGGAGTTCTTCAAGGTTTTATATTAGGATCCCTCCTCTTTCCTCAATGGATTTGACAAATAATCTTTGTCCAGGCATTTGTTTGGCACTTGATGGCATGTTAATAATGTCAACCTTTTTAAATCAGCAGTCTATCAAACATTTGATGGAAGGCAAGATTCTTGCCCTAAAGTAACTTCTGATGGAAATTTGTTGCTGAACAAAAACTACATTTAAGACATTTGGAATGTTTCCCTGTATTATGATCAATTAACACATCAATTTAGAAAAGTTATAAAAAATTGTGAAAACCACTGATAAAAAATAAACAATTGAACTTATCAATTATTAGTCAATAAAATCAGCTCAGCAGTAGAAAAACACTGAAAAACAGAAAGAACCAAAGATCGACTGAGCTAATTTAATTCTACAAAATATTACTGAATGGAGCAACTTCTATGACCAGGAAGTAAATGTTTGAAATATAAGTACCTAATTCCAAGATGAATTAATAGATAATGAAGTTGAAACAAAAAGCATTCAACACCAAAACCACAACAGTGTTAAAAAGATTGCCTTGTTGTGTCAGACATGAGTTGTTTACCTTACACAGAACCAGTTTAGATGTCTTTGTATGTAATTACCATCTTCCTCTCTACCAGCCTTAAAAAATAACCTGGTTCTGCTCCAACAAAGTTTCTGTTTAATTGCATTTTCTGATCCCACTAGGGAAGTCTTCAGAAGAAAAGCTAAATCTCATTGCTGCTCATCATCACAAAGACCTAACAACCAACAAAAAAAGATTATTTTTCTATGACATGTTTTCAGTTGTCAGACAAGCGAACAATATGCACTTATAGCCATATAATGACAGAAAATGTTTCCGCATTCATCTTAATCATGGAGCCATTCTCTTAAAAAACATATACCACTTATTATCAAAATTCAAGTTATTAATCATGAATAATTCAAAGATCTCTTGTTTTACATTGCAAAATAAGAATGATTTTAACTCATTTTGACCAACGTTTAGACAAAAGTTGTCAGAGAATATCTCTCTAACTCATTTCTGAGGGACTCTGGGCCGCCAGCTGTGGGAACTGGTTGTTTTGACTAGACCGACGGTTCCACAAGGACATTTTAAAGCAACCTGAGATAAGCACTTAATGTTGGCTACAGCACGCACCTGATGAAGGCAGGCCTAAAAATACCGCATTTCAAAACAAGGTAATTATACTATCTTAGTTCCTCTGTCTTTGTGCTCAAGTTGGTTTTTATAAAGAAATTCAAACTTAATGAGACACAATGGATTCTAAAAAGCCACTAAATAACCCAATAAATATAAACTGTCTTACTGTTGTACAGTCAGTTATATTAAACACACACAAAAACATTTTGCAGACTATAGAGCGCGCCTCACTATAAGCCACGCCCACTAAATCTTAAAAAAAAAAAAAAAAAAGGAAACTTGCATATATAAGTCGCACTGGGCTATAAGCTGTTTATATCACCTGAACTGTCTCCCACCATACCTGTAGGGGGAGCTCTACATATCACCCCTAGAGTAGGGACGAATAAGAAGAATGCTAGCTCCCGTTAGCTTGTTGGTTTGCAGCAGTAAGAGCTTCTACTGAAAGATGGGGCTTTGACAGCTCTTTATTTCAGCTCAGCAGGAGTTGTGCCCAGTTTCTTCATTGATTCAGCAGCTTTAAAGAGGCAAATAAATGCCAAAATGTGTGAATTTGGGACATTTGTTCTCCGTCATGCCTGCTACTAGCATGTTCTTGTGCTAAATGAAAATTGGCCCCTCATTTTTTCATTTTCAAGTTTGACCTTTGACCCCCTCTGGCGGTTAGGAAAAATCCACAGTAAAGCTGCACCTTTTCATAATTTGCATGATTCAATGTGTGGGGGGAAAAAGTGGCAGCTTACAGTCCAGAAAATCATATATTTTTTTTTTTTTCCTCCCACTTGT